AATATAGAAACATTGGACACAACTGTGGGGCACCCTGTGAATGTGCGAGACTACCAGAAATAACGAGAAGAATAACAGAGTGCAGTGAAAGGTAAAACTGTTTGCACTACAAACCAGTGTGCTCATAATTAAGACAATACATTAAAATAATATGGTAAGACACACCAGTTCGTAATATCAAGCAGCAATTTGTACAGCTAAAAATAGCTGGAAGCGGATGACACCGGAAGCCACAAAGCCACTGGAAGGCAAGCCTGCAACCTTTAGCCAAAAAAGCGCAATGGCTAATGCTAACGCTTCCGGTTTGCCAGTACTTGTTTACCAGAGGCTGTTTTTTTGAATGGATGTCAATGGAGGAGAGGCTTCACTACGCTGAATAAACAGCTTTTTAGAGGAAACGGCTTATCATTTAATGAATCGACAGCTATTCACTCACCGGTCTCGAGTCCCATGGAGGAGCTCCGGAAGGATAAAAGGAGGAATGACGACAGTGTTGGACGAGAGAGGACAAGGCCTGGACTTTATTTTGTGTTTTGTGTGCGGCATTCATCCGTGAGGGGCTGCCGCTTTACTTTCATTTTGTGTTTGTTTATTTTATTATTAAAGTTTTGTTTAAGTGTTCGCCGGTTCCCGCCTCCTTTTTCCCGTGACTATGAACTGTGTTACACACTGTTTAAGAGTTATTAGCTGGTGAAGTGGATTTACTTATTGTAGAGTTAAGGAAAGTTATCATGTGCATTGTAATGTTCGAAGCAGATGTCATAACAAATGTAGGCCGGGAAGATTTTAAAACATGCACAGTGCTGAAAAGGGGCGGAGCTACATAAGGTCTATAAACTCGAATTTTAAAGACGCGAAGTTAGTAAAGCTGTTTACGCCAAATCTCTATCTGTAGGTATATTCTTATAATAAATCTTTAAAATAGTGACATCAGACAAATTTTGCCTCTTTTTAGGTGCAAGGAGTGAAAATTTGATATCAAAATGTGTTATGATTTCAGGATGATGAAGACAGAACAGTTAGATTAAAAATAAAAAAGATTATGACTCAGAATTACAAGGAAAAAAGTCAGAATTGTGAGATATAAAATGTTAAAGGTTCTTCATGGAATCATCAGTGTTAGTCAAGAGTGTTGATTCTAAGAGTGAACATAAAGAGATGCTTTCAGGATTACGCATGACTTTTGATTTGTGTATCTAGCTGATGAAAAATGCAGAAGAGCTGGTTTCTGTTCCTCCACACGAGAGGAAACTTTCTCTTTGAATGCTTATTTTTTTAGTTTCCACTAGCTGGAGGTTTCCACGCCACCCGGAGTGAGTTTTTGTGTGTTATGGAATGCGGAAGTGTCTTCATAATTGCTTCACACGTCACTGACAGACACTCCCATCACATGTGCTGGAGAACATCATGTCATGTGCCATTAAGAGTTTCCACAGACGCCAGACGCTTCCTGATCAGGAACTCAACACAAAACATTAAAGCTGCACGTAAATCACAACCACATGCAAATGAGACGCATTCACATGAAAGAGGAGTAATGTGTGGTTTGCATGTGAGGACACAGGAAGTACAGTATTTGAATGCATCACTGACACTGAGACATCAACTTATATATCTGTCTCTGTCTGTCTGTGTGTATCTGTCTGTTTGTCTGTCTGTATCTGTCTGTCTGTGTCTGTATTTCTGTCTGTCTGTCTGTGTCTGTATTTCTGTCTGTCTGTATGTCTGTATCTGTCTGTTTGTCTGTCTGTATCTGTCTTTTTGTCTGTCTGTGTGTGTATTTCTGTCTGTCTGTCTGTATCTGTCTTTTTGTCTGTCTGTGTGTGTATTTCTGTCTGTCTGTCTGTATCTGACTGTCTGTCTGTATCTGTCTGTCTGTATCTGTCTGTCTGTCTGTATCTGTCTTTTTGTCTGTCTGTCTGTTTGTCTGTCTGTCTGTCTTTCTGTCTGTGTCTGTATTTCTGTCTGTCTGTCTGTCTGTATCTGTCTGTCTGTGTCTGTATTTCTGTCTGTCTGTCTGTCTGTCTGTCTGTCTGTCTGTGTCTGTATTTCTGTCTGTTTGTCTGTCTGTATTTGTCTGTTTGTCGGTCAGACTGTATCTGTCTGTCTGTGTCTGTATTTCTGTCTGTCTGTCTGTCTGTATCTGTCTCTCTGTTTGTCTGTCTGTATCTGTCTGTCAGTCTGTATCTATCTGTCTGTCTGTATCTGTCTGTCTGTCTGTCTGTCTGTGTCTGTCTGTATGTATCTGTCTGTCAGTCAGTATCTGTCTGTCTGTCTGTTTATCTTTCTGTATCGGTCTGTTTGTCGGTCTGACTGTATCTGTCTGTCTGTTTGTCTGTCTGTATCTGTCTGTCTCTCTGTATCTGTCTGTCCGTCTGTGTCTGTATTTCTGTCTGTCTGTCTGTATCTGTCTGTTTGTCTGTCTGTATCTGTCTGTCTGTCTGTGTCTGTATTTCTGTCTGTTTGTCTGTCTGTCTGTATTTCGGTCTGTGTCTGTATCTGTCTGTCTGTCTGTATCTGTATCTATCTGTCTGTCTGTCTGTCTGTATGTATCTGTCTGTTTGTTGGTATGACTGTATCTATCTGTCTGTCTGTGTCTGTATCTGTCTGTCTGTTTGTCTGCCTGTATCTGTCTGTCTGTTTGTCTGTCTGTGTCTGTGTCTGTATCTGTCTGTCTGTCTGTTTGTCTGTCTGTATCTGTATCTGTCTGTCTGTATCTGTCTGTATTTTTGTCTGTCTGTTTGTCTGTATCTGTCTGTATTTCTGTCTGTCTGTCTGTCTGTGTCTGTATCTGTCTGTCTGTTTGTCTGTCTGTATCTGTCTGTCTGTTTGTCTGTCTGTATCTGAGTCTGTCTGTAAAAGCTACAAGCTTTCAAAACTTATTAAACCAGTGTTATTTCATATACTGTTTGTTAATATTATATTCTTAATATTGTTGTAGTTATTGCTGTTTTTCTCAGTCGCTTTGGTAAATTTCTTGAATAATTTTTAATATTTGCAAAGCAGTATGTGCATTTCTCCAAACTCGTACAAACAGCACCACACAATGGATTACTTGCAAAAACCTGGGTAACACTTTATAATAACTTTCATTTATAAATCATTAACAAACATTATATAATGCTTAACAGATCATTAGTTAATATATATCTACATAGCTAGAAATATGAGATAATGTTCTTTTTAATGTTTACTAATGAACTTACTAAACATTACCTAATGATTAACATGATTAATATAAATCGAAAAGCGTACAAATGTCAGTAAACTTTCAGTTCATATGATCTTCATTTGTTGGTCTTTGTTTGTTGTGTAGACCTCTATTCACACATCTTTACTAATCATTTATTAATCATTTGTTCATGTTTTTGCAGTAGCCAAACTAAAGTTGAAACTATTCATCATTTGTAAATGTTTATAAATGATTACTAATCAATTAGTATCTGTATGGGCACTGGACTTTTAGCTAATGTAACAAGGTTTGTGTAAAGGGTGGCTGGTTACGTTTAGCTAAACACTTGCTAAAGACATAACAGATTATAATTTTGGTGCAAAAAATGTCTTTATTGCCTCAACACTCACATTAGTATACTGTCTTCAGTATACCATTAAACAGGATATTCCTTGAATCATACATAAACGGGAAAACATTTTTTCATTTATCAATTTAGCAAAACAATATAATATAAACAGATTGAACCATGTTCCCTTATAATAATCCAACTGACCCCTGTACACTGTTGACCTTTAACCAACCCTTAAACCAACCCACACCACCAAACCTGTCCCTAACCATACCCGTATCACACCTCAATAGCAGCAGAAGTGTTGTGCATTAACACAAGCTTTTAATCACTGTATCTGTTAAAATCATTTGTAGATTTTTAATAAGTGCTTGATCATATTGGAAGTTTAATGACGTCTGTAAGCATTTTAACTTGTTAATGATTTATTAAAGATAGTTATTATAAAGTGTTACCAAAACCTGTAACTTGCTCAAAATCCTCAGTTCATTTCTCAGAAGTAAGTATTTATTTCAGTGAACATATCAGTGCCATCAGAAAGTCCTTGTGTCATTGATCACGAACAAGAGAGTCAGAATACTTACAAACACAACAGTGTATCTGTCAGTATTTCCTGACGTAAACTCTGGCTACAGTTTTCATGACATCGACTGAAAATGCACTTTTCCTGTATGATATCAAAAGTACAAATGTGCACGGGATATACAGTGTATATATATATATATATATATATATATGGACTGTATATATGTATACATATGTGTGTGTGTATCTGTATAAAGTACATTTACAATCTGAGAAATCTACCAAAGCGACTGAAAAACAAACAAACAAAAAAAAGAAATGTAATGACTATCCTTGGACAACATGCTAAATTAGGCTAGCAATGTACTCAAACATGTTAATCATGCTAACAACATGCTAGCAACATGCTAACCATATTAGAAAGATGGTAGCAACATGCTAATCATGCTAGAAAGATGCTAACAACGTGCTAATCGTGTTAACAACATCTAACAGTATGTTAATCATGCTAGCAACACACTAATCATGCTAAAACATGTCAAGTCAAGTCAAGTCAAGTCACCTTTATTTATATAGCGCTTTTAACAATAC